TTATTTTATCAAATTGAAGTACTCAATAAGAAATTCATATAGGAAGAAAAAACTTTTAATTATCATTCATTTAAATTGTTAAATTTTCATTTGAAATTTGTGTTCGAAAAGTTAAAGTGTTAAATTAACTCTACTAAAATTGAATAGAAGTAGTAGTTTCTTCTTTTTTTGTTTTGTTTTGTTTTCTTTTCTTTTTTTTTTTTAAAAAAATTTAGTAAGCAATATACCACAAACTAATAATTTAGTAATATTTTTAATTTTAATTTTTATTGTTGAATTACCATATATGCTAAACATCCTTTAATTGGTTTTTTTTCATTGTTTTCATTGTACATGCTCTAACGCCCTATTATTATTTACACAGACTGATTTTTGATCCATATTGCAAAACAAGAACAATTAAATGGAGAAACAGCTTCCATCCAAAGATCTTAGTTGTGCCGTCTGGTCATAATACCTTTTCTTATTTGAAAAAGGTATGTTCATCCACCATACCAAAATTTTATCTTGAAAAGCAAAAGATGCTAAGATGCTAGTTGTAGTTGGATTCGATTCTGGCTCAGTTTTTCTTTCTAGTAATATTTCGTTTCCTTTTTGCCCTCTTTTGGAAAAGCAGAATATGCTTTAAACTAATGCATTTGCTTTAGTGCAAATTATGGGGGCCTCCAAAGGTCCTTGGCGTGTAATGCTCAAGTCAGTCAATAAAAACATCAGAAATTTCCACTAAACTTCACACTTCCCCTGCAAATTGGTCCTCCAAATAAAACTATGGTGGGCCCTGCAAAGGAAGACAATTTTCATTTCATTAGTGGGAAATGAAGATAATACATGTGAGGAAAGAGGAAAATAATCAGAAAGTACAATCTTCTCTTTTTCAGGATCAATAATTAGAGCCACTAGCATCAGAAAGCAAAAGCATCAAATGCTCTGCCCATTTTGGAAAAAACAGCCTAACAAATTAACAGGCAATTTCCTTTCGTTTTCCCATTCATCTCAGATCACCCTCTGCCCTGTTCCAAGCTTCTCTGTCCTTCCTTTTCAGTGCTAAGTTTCAGCCTAAAGGCAGAAGGTGTGCTCCTTATCTCTTCCCTCTCTTGTTTTTAATTTATTTTCTAATGTTCAGTTTCTTCATCTTAAATTTTATTTACTGTTTCTGTGTTTCTTCGCAGGGTTTAATTGTCACCCACACCCAGCGGGCAGCAGTTTTGCATCCGCTTTCAACTTTGAGCATTTGAAAAAAAATTAAAGCCAGGAAGCAAAGGTATGTAATATTAAATGCTTCTTAATCCTACATTTTTTTTCCCTTTATTATTATCATTTTATGTTTTTAAATATGAAAAATATATTGAAAATCCAAGTGTTCCTAATTCTATTCTTTAAATATTTGTCAAATCTTTAAATCTTTAAATATTAAAAAATCTGTGTACTTTTAGATTGAAAACATTTTTACTAAATTAATTAAAATTAATGTTATCAAAGCAATAAATAAATAAAGCTGGAAAGACATGTCCCTTCCGAGCTATTCTTATTTTTATTTTTCCTTTTACTGATTTATATTTTTAAAAATGAAAAATCTGCACTATTCATCTTAAAATAATATAATTTTAAAAAAAAAATTTAAAACATTACCTTAGGCTTTTTTGTCTGTGTTTCTCATAGATCTTTTTTACAAAGTACTTTATT